CTAACTTTGATCCTCCTGACCTCTGTCTCCCAAGTAGAAGAGATTACAGGCATGAGGCACTATGCTCAAAATTTTTGCTCTTAGATGGCTTTAAAAATCACCCTCCCTGCCATAGCACTTTTAGATGAGAACTGATGCAATGCTTTAAGACAGCATGTATCTGACTGGAAGTGGCTAACGGTATTTCTTTTGTGTGTGCCAGTACTGGGACCTGAACACAGTCCCTTAACTTTTTTGCCCAATGCTAGTGCTCTACCATTTGAAATACAAGCCCACTTCAAGCTTTTTGGTTAACTGGAGACAGGAGTCTCACGGACTTTTCTGCCCATGCTAGCTTCAAACCACAAACCTCAGATCTCAGCCTCCTGAGTAGCTGGGATTACAGGTGTGAGCTACCAGCATGCGGCAAGACTGAAGATTTTTAAAAGAATAATACATGCAACAAAATCTATGAAGGTTTTAGGCTTGAATGCAATCAGAAAATCCAAAAAGCCAGAAGGGAGCTGACATGCATGGTAAGTACCAGAAACTCAGGCTCTTCCTTTTCCCCACCCTTCCATTACAAGGGGGCTTTTGTGTATCACAAATTTTAACCTGTTAACTTGGTAATTCTCTGATTCAGAAAAAGTTATCTCAGGAAAAACTGGGTCAAAGCACTCATAGAAAGCAGCAGTGTTTTGAGGTACGCACTAAATGGAGAAAGACTGGAAAATTTATCACTGAAAATTCCTCCGTGAGTGCTTGCCCAGCGCCCCGCCGGCCCCGCCCTGTCCCTCCCAGGCCGTCTTCAAATCTGTCACTGGGTACTTGGCTTCAACTCTAATGATTCTGTTACTTCAGGCAGGCTTCCAAACAAAAAGAAATGGCTATTTACATTTCCTAGACTGAAATCATAAATATGGTGAGCTGAATTACGCTGAGATGTCAGTGGAACTCTACAGAAGAGAAATCTTGGTCAGGTAAAAGGATATTTGTTATAAAAGTAGCAAAAGGATCTTATTGTGGATATGTTTCAAAGCTTAGGTGGTCCTCTAGCAGAGACTCAGGGGAGAGCTTTATAGTACGGTCTCTGACACACACCATTTAGACTGGGAGCCAGACTACATTTTTCTCCCTGAAATTATACAGGATCAGTGGTATTCCAGTAAATTGCCCCTTTGTGATTCAAACGTTCATACAAAATACCTTTCTTATATAGATCATTTTACTTTTTTTCTTAACAAGGTCTCCAAATGCTTTGCTTTCACACAATATTCCTGGGAATAATTACAATTGAGGTATCTTTGAGCAAATGCCTAACTCCAAGGATTAGCACCTTTCTACTTTGTGAAAAGTAATCAGCCTATGATAATCTTTATTTTTATAAGCAATAGAGATGTGCCCTTGGAACTCGAAGCTTCTCAATACTGTATCTAGTAGAGGCATGTGTGACGAGTCCCAGGCTGAGAAGCCCCTGCAAGAAGTGTTCTGACAGGAGCACTGACGCCATGTTGCATGAAAAGCTGCTCTGTTCCTCCTGAGCACTCTACTGCCCCTGCCAAACTGTAGCTAAGCAGAACGGGCTTCCAGAATGGGTGGTACACATGCCTGACAACCCAGAAGCTCCACACCTGAGGCAGATGCCCTGGGCTGGAGCAGCACATGGACATGGCAGAAATGCAGACAGTTGGACTCATCTGAAACCCACTCAGTCAGAAATCCAAAGTGGGAAGCCGGGAGCCGGTAGCTCACCCCTGTCATCCTAGCTACTGAGGAGGCTGAGATCTGAGGATCATGGTTCAAAGTCAGCCCAGGCAGGAAAGTCTGTGAGACTTGTATCTCCAATGAGCCACTAGAAAACCAGAGGTGACACTGAGGTTCAAGTGGCAGGGCACTCACCTTGAGCTGAAGAGCTGAGGGACAGCGCCCAGGCCCAGAGTTCAAGCCCCACAACTGACCAAAAAAGAAAGAAAGAAAGGGGGGGGGGAAGGAAGGAAGGAAGGAAGGAAGAAAGGAAGGAAGGAAGGAAGGAAGGAAGGAAGGAAGGAAGGAAGGAGAGAAAGAGAGAGAGAAAGAAAGAGAGAGAGAAAGAAAGAAAGAAAGAAAAAGGAAGGAAGGAAGGAAAGAAGGAAGGAAGGAAAAGAAAAGAAAGAAATCCAAAGCAGGGCCCAGCAATCTGTGATTCTGATGTCAGAAGAATGGACACAATCAAGTACTTATAGCAGAGAAAAATGAATGAAAAAGTTTTGTGTATGAGATTAAATAAACTCAGAACAGTAATTCTGACTACTCATAAAGCCAAGGAAAGCTAAATCATGTATTACTAAGAACTCATTTATAGCCATGAATCAAGCCTACAATTCCAGCTTCTTAGAGAGGCAGGGATCAGAGTCTCTCTGTTTGAGGCCAGCCTGGGCATAAAAGTTTGTGAGACTCGATCTCAACTAATGGCTGGGTGTGATGGTGAGCAGCTATCACCTCAAGCTAGGGGGAAGCACAATGGCTGGAAGGGACCTGTCATTCTAGCTACGCAGGGAAGCACTAATAGGAGGACTGCAGTCAAGACGGCCCAGGCATAAAGTGAGACCTATCACAAAAATAAACCACACAAACAGGGGCTGGCAGAGTGGCTTACATGGTAGAGTGCTTGCCTAATGCGTATAAGGCCTTGAGTTTAATCCTTAGTTCCATCTGCCCCTGAAAGACAAGTTTATGTGACAAAGACATAAAACTCTATGTTTGAAGACAGCATAGGAATGTCAATGAAAACTGCTCATCAGTTAAGGGATGGCGTAGGGGGAGAAGCTGCTCTGAGTCCAACGTAACGTAGGCATGTCTGAAATACCAAACTGAAATGCCCTGGTGTAATTAATACACACTTAAAAAAATAACAAAAGTGAAACAGGCTCTGATCAGGGGGGCACACCAGGAGGGGGGACACCAGGATGGGGCTAACAGAGGTGACTGCAGATGAAGCAGTTCATCTGCATGTAGAAACCTACTGTAACAGAGGAGTGGAATGGGAGGGGAATGGGGGTAAGGCTGATCAGGATACATTGTATACCTGAGTGGAAATGTCGCAATGGATCCCTCTTTTGTATAAGGAAGTATGCTAATAAAAATAGTCATAACCAGCCAGGTGCCAGTGGCTCACACCTGTAATCCTAGCTTCTCAGGAGGCTGAGATCTGAGGATTGCGGTTCAAAGCTAGCCTAGGCAGGAAAGTCCATGAGACTCTTATCTCCAATAAACCACTCAGAAAACCGGAAGTGGTACTGTGGCTCAAGTGGTAGAGCACTAGCCTTTATCTGAAGAGCTGAGGGACAGCGTATAAGCCCAGAGTTCAAGCCCCACAACCGACCAAAAAAATGTCATAACCATAAACAGACAAATTAGGCAAAAGAAAATCAAAGCTGAATAAAGAGAACCATTTTCAGAAAACAAGGAAATAATGCAACTTGAATTCTGCTCAGAAAACACATCAAGGGATGTGGGAAGATAGGCAAACAAGGGTAACACAGGACCTACAACTATATAGACAACAGTCTAACTTGAGTATGTTCACAGCTGTTTTTTGTTTGGTCGGTTGTGGGGCTTGAACTCTGGGCCTGGGCGCTGTCCCTCAGCTCTTCAGCTCAAGGCGAGCGCTCTACCACTTGAGCCACAGCGCCACTTCTTTCTGGTGGTTTATTGGAGATAGGAGTCTCACGGTCTCTCCTGCCCGGGCTGGCTTTGAACCGCGATCCTCAGATCTCAGCCTCCTGAGTAGCTAGGATTACAGGCATGAGCCACCAGCGCCCGGCTTGTTCACAGCTGTTTACTGTATTCTCAATGCTACTTCTATTACATGTTTTGTTTTTATATATTTTTTTTTCCGGTCGTGGGGCCTGAACTCTGGGCCTGGGCGCTGTCCCTCAGCTCTTCAGCTCAAGGCTAGCGCTCTACCACTTGAGCCACAGCGCCACTTCCGGCTTTTTTCTTTTTGCTTATGTGGTGCTGAGGAATCGAACCCAGGGCCTCGAGCATGCAAGGCAAGCGCTCTACCACTGCGCCACCTTCCCAGCCCCTATTACATGTTTTTGTTCACATCAAGTATTACATAATAAATTTTAAACCCAAAAGACAAAAATACCATCAAGTAAATATAAAAAAGGAAACCACCTAAATGTTTATGTTACTTAAATTGTGATACATCCATACAAAAGTTTAGACATGAGAAAGTATGTGTGATAAAATTAACCAGGTAAAAAGATGCATACTAAAAAAATCAGAATAGTAGTAGCTGATATTTTATCTCTTCCTTATACACTTAAAATCTTCAAAATCATTAAGAATATTTGCATGTGTGCGTACCAGTACTAAGTCTTGAAATTAAGGTCTGGGCACTGTACCTTCGCTTTTCCACTCAAGACTGATGTTCTACTACTTGAGCCACAGTTCTACTTCTGACTTTTTGCTGGTTAACTGGAGATAAGACTTTCCTGCTTGGGCTTTTCTGCCCCAGCTGGCTTCAAACCATGATCTTCAGATCTCAGCCTCCTGAGTAGTTAGGATTACAGGTGTGATCCACCAGTGCTGTTAAGGATTTTTTTTTTTACTGTCACTGAGACAGTCAATGACTCAAAGTTACTAAACTGTCAAACCTTTTGTTGGAAACAGCAAGAAAATTAGTATTTTGTGGAAATTTAGTTGTGATTTTATGAGCTACATAATTCAAAGCTTCATATTTTCTACCATAAAGTATGTGTGTGTTTATCTTTATAATTGTGACTCCTTATCAAATCATTTCATTTGTGTGTAGAGGAAAAACAAACTGAGAAACTATGAAGAAAATTTCAATTAAATAATTGAAAAACAATTCTGAATACAAAGACAAACAAGAATAAAAGTAAAAATCAACCATCACTTGTTAACTGCTTTTGAAAACACAAGAGAGAGGCAAGTATCAAAAGTTGGCCTTAGATCCTGTCCTAGTGAAAAAGGACTATAAGATGAAGGTTCTGAAGATGTTGCGTACTTACCTCCTTCTCCAATATTCTGGCAATCTCGCCCAGGGTCCGATCCAAAGCTGAAACCTTATTATTTGCCCATGTGCCACTATCTTGAACTTGTAGTTGCTTTAGAAGATCTTTGGCTAATCGTTGAAGCCTTCAACACAAAAGGAATGACATTAGACACCACATATTTCATTTTGAGGCACAGACTTCATTTTCTTAAGCCTTTGAAAGGGAGTTACTTTCAGTATTCTACTTGAAACTACTTCACAAAGCACCTGGAGGGAAAAAAACAAGGGAACTTAGAGGATGTATTACTTTTATATTCAAGACCACCAATCTATTCCTCTGACCTAAAGCAGAATTAGTAGACAGTATCTCCCTCATTCACAGGATGGGCTGAGAGCATCAGTTTTTGTGTAATCCAGAAGTTAGAGGGGACTGAAAGCTGGGGAGAAGGTAAAAGGCTGGTGACAGAGAAAAGGAGCCCAAGAACCCAAGCAGGTACTTCTATTCTGATTTGATTCTTTAAAGTAGTCTTGGACATTAGAAGCATTTGTAAACACACACAATGTTGAACCATCCTGGGGCCAGTTTATAGGCAGGCAGTTCACCATCTTATACAACAGAGTACTTGGTTTTCACCGAGCAATACCACCAATTACCTGGATTATAAGATTCCTTAGTGTCCTCCCTTGGGTTTTTCACACTTCTTTATGTGGTCCTCTCCTCTCCTTTACTTCTATGCTTGAGCATTTGTTGGCAGAGTTACTACTCGTTCCCCGGATAGTTACCAAGTCGGCTTTCCCCTGTTGTCCTGATTCAATTTTGAAACTGGCAGATGCCATAGGGCTCATGACAATCATCCTCTTGCAAGAGAGCCTACATCCCCTGTCTACCACTGCAATCCTTGCTTCTACCGTACAAAACCCAGCCATGGCTAACAACGTTTATTTAGCTCTTATTACGGACCAGATACCATTCTGTGTCTTGAAAGTTTTAATTTAGTTATACAACTTAATGAAATCACCCACTAGCCTTTTTCATTGCTGAGCCTGAGAAAAAGTTGCACCATAAAAAAAAGATGAATGTGACTAAATCTCTTTAGTCTGTTCAATGTTCCAGTCTCCACAGAGTGCTTCTCTATTTCCCTTTCCTCTCGCTCTCTCTCTCTTGTTTTTATAAAATCATACATTTCGGAGTAAACGGAAACGAGTGGAACAAGAAAAACCTCAGTTTCTGCCACAAAATCTGCAAGTGATCTTCATTTCACCCAGGCTCCTTTGTTTTTCCTATTACAACTCAGGAAGGGCCCTTCTTCCCTCCTGAGCTGGACCAGGCTCTGCGGTGCATGGGGTCTCTCCAGACCTCAATTCCACTTTTCCAGCTTCACATTCTCCCCAAGTGTTCTTCAATCCCTCTTTCAGAAGTGCTGATTACCTGGGAACTTCTTACTTACCCATCAGCTCTTAGCACAAAAACTCCTTTCACCAAGCTGGCTCATCCCAAGTGAAACAAACACTTAGCTAACTCCATTATCCCATGGACATTTTTCTCATGTGGCATTTTCCAGAAGAATAGAGACATTCCTTCTCTTCACAATCCAATATGGGAGCTGCCACCCAAAATGTGGCTACTATCACTTAAAATAGGAACAATGTGGCCAAGGAACTAAATTTTAAATTGTATTTCATTTAAATAACTCAGTGATGTGACTAGAAGCTATTCTATGGCATAGTACAAAGTATGGTAGAAGCTTACATGAGAGAGAGTCTTTGTCTAGCGTCTGTTCAGCTTTTTTATCCTTACATGTACTAAATAGATGCTCAATAAATAAATGGCCTAGATGAAATACTTTTCTTTGATCTTAATATCTGTAACCACAGTTATAAAATACTTCCATGCACCTGATCTGTCTAATCTTCTTAGTAACATGGACAGTACTATCCCTCTGTGAAAAATGAAGAAACTAACACTCAGGAAGTTAGATGACTTTCCCAAGTTCAAACACTTGCCAAAAGCACACAGACCTCAGCCTCTGCTCTTCCAATCTCATGTCTGGTCTTCATGCCATGTTACCAAACTAAAATAAGGAAGCTTAATTCACCAACAAATTTCCAAGGATAAATTTCATCTAAAAATTAATGTATGTAAACTCTAAACATTTCCCAAAAAACAATAGCAAAAGCTGTTAAAAACAAAACAAAAACACAACAAGCCAGCCCAGACAGAAAAGTTCCTGAGACTCTTATCTCTAACTAATCCAAAAAACTGCAAGTGAAACTGTGACTCAAGTGGTGGAGCTCTAGCATTGAGCAAAAAAGCCCAAGGACAGCACCCAGGCCCCAAGTTCAAGCCCCAGGAATCACTCATGCATACACAAAACAACAACAGTGACCTCAAGCTTAAACTTAAAACTCTTACATGAAGTCACAGCATGTACCATGAGTATAAACCCCGGAGAAGTTATTTCATCTCTCTATAGCTCAGTTTTGTTTTTTTTTAAGTTGCATGTATGTGTGTGTGTGTGTGTGTGTGTGTGCGTGTGTGTGTGTGTGTGTTATATGTGGTACTGAGGAATCAAACCCAGGGCTTCATCCATGCGAGGCAAGCACTCTACCACTAAGCCACATTCCTAGCCCAAAAGTTGGATACACACACACACACACACACACACACACACATACACACACTTTCAGAGCTTTTTAAAGATCAGAGATAATCTCGATTACCAAGCATTAAAGCAGACATCTAATAAATGGCCAATGATCATTACTATGCGTTAACAGGAGGTCTTTATCTAACAAAAGGGGAATATAAAAGATAAAATGATAGCAACATATTCTTTTTCACTCTAAACCAAATATGGGCTCGAGTCCCATCCAGATTATAGTTACTGGCCTTAAACGTGGAAGAACATTGGCAGCAAACCTCATTGTGTGATAGGTCAGCAGCTATTGCAGCTTCCGGCTGAATAGGCTGCGCACTGTGTAACTAAATATACAGCTATAGCAACAGGAGCTAGCATTATTCTTACCCAGAATGCTCTCATTCTTCTGAAAACTAGGAGGACTGAGGGAAGCACAAGGCCTGTTTTAATTCACAGAATAAAAGAGGCTTATATTTCACCCTGAGGCAGATCAACTCTGGGGTTCATATGAGCCTCCCTTCAAGGAAGAATGCTAAATCAAGGGGATGCTTTGGTAACGTGAGCTAAACCTGCCTCACTCCTTGCGTCCCCACAAGTACCACAAAGGATATGGCCCCGCTCAATAAAAATTAAAACATCAAGTTTTGATGCATACTACAAATAATGATAGAATGCTGTCCAAGTCAAAGCTGAAAGCTGTCCTTCTGCTCAACAATGAATAAAAACAACAACCAGGAGCTACTCAGAGAACGTAGATTTTTAGCAGAGAAATTGTCACTTGGGTTACTTGGGGCAGATCATTTTTCTAGCATGAAAAGGAAAATGGAAGCTTCCTAACTTGTTGCTAGAACATGAGGAGTATCTGTCCAGTAAATGGCTTTGTGAAAAATGGTAGAAGATCAGGTATTTCATTCTCAGAACTTGAAGAAATTCCAACCCACTGTTAAGTATCGCTCTGCGGGGCCCTTTCTTTTATTGCTCTGAGGTGGGGCTCTCCTAGGGACATTTAGAAGCCTTGAAAAAGTATGAAAGACAACAAGTCTACTCCAGAAATTCACTGCTCTTGAGTGTGACAGAAGGAAGACAAAATCATGTTAATTCTTCTCTTTCATTTCCTCTATTTAGAAAGGTACTGGGTATAATTTAAAGCTACTTACTCCCTTTTACGCTTTTATTTCCCATTTTAATGTAGGAAATCAAACCTTTTGTTGTACCCTGTATAAGATGGAAAAATCAGTGTACATTCATTGCCTCCAACAGCAGTTCTCATGGAAAAGAAGACATGGAACAGGACTTCTGTCTTTAAGAACTACCCAACCTGCTCACGCCTGTAATCCTAGCTACTTAGGAGGCTGAGAGCTGAGGATCGTGGTTCAAAGCCAAACCAGGGTAGGAAAGTCCAGGAGACTCTTATCTCTCAACTAACCACTAAGAAGTTAGAAGCAGAGCTGTGTCACAAATGGAAAAGTGAAAATACTAAGGAAGAGTGCTCAGGCCCTGAGTTTAACGCCAGTACTGGCATACTTAGAGGGGCAACACGATGTGCCCAACTGTTGTCTTAATTCTAGACTCTCAGGGAATGTACCCATCACACTACACACACAAGCACGTCTGTATCTGGAGATAAATACAGATTAACACCTTACTTCCAATTCACCATCACAAGGTTTTTCTCCTCTCCCTGGCTATATTTTTAACCCTCCTTCTAGCAGCAAAGAGTCATCTGCCTATGATTACGACTATATTTTCTTATTGGCCTATTCCCCTCTCTTTCTATATATGGGTCGCTTTCCTGCTTAGGCTCTGACTGTCCATTTGGGGTTCTTTCAGGTATCTCTTGCTCCTTAGACTCTGCATTGGGCCCCCACAGACCCAGCTAGAAAACCCCTAACACAGTAGCCAGGGAGGGTGGAGGAAGATACTTACTTTGCCTTGTAAGGTGAATCAGACCCACAATTTCTTGTTTCCATTAAACTCTCATATTCCTTGGCCCTAAAGAGAAAAAAAGTTTGATCACAGTTATTTTGTAGCTAACTTAAAAAAAAAAACACATCATTTTATAAAACCCCAAATCAGCTGGGTGCTGATGGCTCACACCTGTAATCCTAACCTACTCAGGTGACCGAGATCACGGCTCAAAGCCAGCCCAGGCAGAAAAATATGTAAGACTTTTAGCTCCAATAAACTACTCAAAAAAGCTGGGAGTGGTGCTGTGGCTCAAATAGTAGAGCACAAGCCTTGAGCATAGAAAGGCTCAGGGACAACATATAGGCCCGGGTTCAAGGCCCAGGACTGGCAAAAAAAACAAAACAAAAAAGAACAACAACCAAAAAAAAGGAGCTGTATTTTTTTCTCTCCCGGTATAAAATCAGGCTGTTAATGTAGCAAAATAAGCACATTTATCTTAACACTTTAGTTCCTCATATTTCTTCTCCAAAGTTACTACACATAACTGTGAAAGATTATAAAATACAACTCTTCATAGAATATACTCCGAAAAATTCTTCCAACTTTATAGACTTGATCTAGAATAGATTTTAGAAAAGTGATATTTCATAATTAAATCTGAAAATCTGTAAAATTGCTTCAAAGAGCCCTCAAGTATAAAACACACATACACTCTCTCTCTATATATATGTTTTTTAAAAAAACCTTGAGAAATATTAATTTTATTTTATTTTATTTGGTGGTTGTGGTACTTGAACTCAGGGCCTGGGAACTGTCTCTGAGCTCTTTTAATCAAGGCTGGTACTCTACCACTTTGAGTCACAGCTCCACTTCCAGTTTTCTGGTGGCTAATTGGAGATAAGAGTCTCAAGGGAGCCGGTCGCTGGTGGTACACACCTGTAATTCTAGCTACTAAGGAAACTGAGATCTAAGGATCACGGTTCAAAGCCAGCCCAGGCAGGAAAGTTTGTGAAACTATCTCTAATTAACCACCAGAAAACTGGAAGTGGCACTATAGCCTAAGTTGTAGAGCACAAAAGTCTCAAGGGGAATTTTCTGCCTAAGTGGGCTTCAAATCATGATCCTCAGATCTCATCCTTCCGAGTAGCTAGGATTACAGGCATAAGCCAATGGTACCCAGCAAGAAATAATTTTTTTTTTTTGGGTCCGGTCATGGGGCCTGAACTCTGGGCCTGGGCGCTGTCCCTCAGCTCTTCAGCTCAAGGCTAGCACTCTACCACTTGAGCCACAGCACCACTTCCGGCTTTTTTCTTTTTGCTTATGTGGTGCTGAGGAATCGAACCCAGGGCCTTGAGCATGCAAGGCAAGCGCTCTACCACTGAGCCACCTTCCCAGCCCAAAAAATAATTTAAAAGACTATGAACATGACTTTTTTTTTTTTGCTCTTTTGTCTAATTAGGCTCCACCTTGCTAAACCAATCGTGGACAGCCAGCAACAAGTCTTACACTGGACAGGTCTCACTCCAGCAACCCACAGTAAATACTGAATTCATCTGGTTCTCATTTAAAGGGGGAATCAATGAAAATGCTAGTTTAAATGCAAAGCTCTCATCCAAAGGGCCCTAAGTAAACTTCAACGACATGCAAAATAATAAGGCACAAGGTATACTAATCTACACAGCAACATAAAAATGTGAAAGATACAAATTACAGCAGTGCTAATAAATACAAGCATTAAGTTTATATATTCATGATAACTTTGGTCAACGTCACTCCCTCTTACCCACTGTTGTCACCACTCCCTGCTCCCAACTGTCTTCTAATTCACCTTTGCAAACAGTCTTCCTTCTACTTTCATGTTAAAAACAAATCTAGATTCTATATATAGAACAAAACATGGTATCTGTCCTTCTGAGTCTGGCTTATTTCACTTAACATGATCATCTCCAGTTCCATCCATTTTCCTGTAAAGGATGTAATTTCACACATTTGTATACATATAGATGGATTTTAAAAATCCTTCCTGTGGTGATGGGTACCTAGGCTATTGTGAAAAGTGCAATAAATATTGGTATATAGCTACCTGGACTGAATGTATGCTGTGAGTCCTTGGTGTAGTGTTTCAGCTGGATTAAATGGTAATAGCATTTTGGTTTTTTTCTACACGGTAATTTATATTCATGCTATCTATGTATACTGGTTCTCATTGCTTATCACCTCACTGTCAACCGTTTTCTTGATGAGAGCCATTTTGACTGGAGTGAGGTGAAATCTCCCTAATGTTAAAGATGGTGAACTTTTTCATGTATTCACTGGCCATACTGTCATATTGTACTTCTAGTGAGAATAGTCTGTTTAATTCATTTGCCCATTAATTCATAGAATGATTCCATTTCATGTTCAATTTCCTAAGTTCTTATATATTCTGGATATTAGTCTTCCATCGGATGAATAGCCAGCAAACATTTTAACCTGTTCTGTATGCTGTCTCTTCACTTGGTTTTACTTTACTTTGCTGTGTAAAAGTTTTTGGACGGTTGTGGGCCAGGGCACTGTCCCAAGGCTAGGGCTCAGGGCTAGGGCTCTACCACTTTGAGCCATAGTGCCATTTCCACTTTTCTGGTGGTTAACTGGAGCTAGAGTCTCACAGACTTTCCTGCCCAGGCTGGCTTTGAACCTAGATCCTCAGATCTCAGCCTCCTACCTAAGTAGCTAGGATTATAGACATGAGCCATTGGCTTCTGGCTGCGTGAAAGCTTTTTAATTTGCTGCAATCCCCTTTGTCATTCTTGCTATTATTTCCTGTTACTGGAGTCCTAACTTTGAAAGTGATTGCTTATGCCTATACTTAGAACTGTTTTTCTATCTTTTACTGGAGTTGTTGTAAAAATTTTACTTCTAACATTAAGGTCTTTGATCCATTTTCAATTGATTTTTTCACAGGGTGAGCAATAAAGACTGGCTTCAGAATTCTGCATGTGGACATCCAGGTTTCTTAGAGCCATTTGTTAAGGAAGCTGTCTTATATCCAATATATTTCTGAAATCTTCATTGAAAATTAGGTAATTATAGCTGCACAGGCTTATTTCCATGTCAACTATTCCACTGGAAAGCATGTCATGCTATCTGTTCCTTTTTATTTTGGCAGTCGCAGAGCTTGAACTCACGGCCTTGGAGCTGTCTCCAGGCTTTTTCACTCAAGGCTAGCACTCTACCACTTTGAGCCACAGCATCACTTCTGGTTTTCTGGTGGTTCGTTGGAGATAAGAGTCTCCCAGACTTCCCTGCCTGGGCTGGCTTTTAACCGGTGATCCTCAGATCTCAGCCTACTGAGTAGCTAGGATAACAAGCATGAGCCACCAGCACCAGGCTTGTTCCTTTAATGCTGTAATTAGGTATTGTAATCAGGTACTGTTACAGCTCCAGGACTGGTGTTTTGGCTCATGTATACTTTGCCTATTTGGGATCTTTTATGTTTCATATGAACTTTAGGACCTTCCCCTCACCAAATCTGGTGAAAAATGATACTGGAATTTTGATGGAAATTGTACTGAACTGCAGGTCACTTTCAGTAATATAACCATTTTCATAGTATTAATTCTGCTGATCCATGGAAATGAGAAGTCTTTCCAATATTAGTGTCTTTGTCAATTTTCTTACTTTACCATATCAGTTGTCACTGTAGAAGGCTTTTACTTCTTTTGTTTGGTATACTCCTAGGTAGTTTATTATTTTAAGATTATTGCAGATGACATTTTTTTTTTTGTTATTGGTCCATGGGAAAGCTACTCCTTTTTTTTGGTCAGTCATGGGGCTTGAACTCTGGGCCTGAGCGCTGTCCCTCAGCTCTTCAGCTCAAGGCTACCGCTCTACTACTTGAGCTACAGCACCACTTCCGGTTTTCTGATCGTTTATTGGAGATGTTTCACGGAGTCTCCTGCCTGGCCTGGCTTTGAACCATGATCCTCAGATCTTAGCCTCCTGAGTAGCTAGGATTACAGGCTTGAGTCACGGGCACCCAGCAAGCTATTCCTTTTTGTATGCTTTTGTGTCTTGCTATTTTGCTGAACTGTATCAGAACTACTAGTTTTAAGAGGAAGGATTCTGGATCTTTCATATATAGGACCATGGCATGAAATCATAGGGATAACTGGACTTCTTCCTCTCTTGTTTGTATCCCTTTAACTTCTTCATTTTTCTGTATAGATGTTTCTATGAATTCAAAGACTGTAGTGAATAAATGTAGAGTGTGGATACCCTTGTCTAGTTCCTGATGTTAGAGAAAACATTTTGGTTTTCCCCCTTTCAGTATATGTTGGGTATAGGTTTGACATATGTAGCATTTGTTAGGTTAAAGTATGATCCTTCTTTTCCTACATCCTTCACGCTTTGATTATGAGGGCTTGTTCTGCATCTATTTTGGTACTTGATTCTATTTATGTGTTGTAGTACATTTATTGATCTGAGTATATTGAACCATCCTTGCATCCCTGGAATGAAACTATCTTTTCAATGGGTTGCATGTATTCTACTAAGGACGTCTACTTCAACGTTCAAGGGAATTGGCCTATAGTTTTCTTTTGTTGTTGTTGTTGTATCCTTACCCAAATCTGTTACCAGGATAGATTCATAAAATGAGCTTGGAAGGGTTCATTCTCTATTTTATGAAACAGTTTGCAGAGAATTGGTGCTAGTTTTTTTTTTAAAGTATATACAAGCTGGGCGCCGGTGGCTCACGCCTGTAATCCTAGCTACTCAGGAGGCTGAGATCTGAGGATCACAGTTCAAAGCCAGCCCGGGCAAGGAAAGTCGGTGAGACTCTTATCTCCAATAATCCACTAGGAAACCAGAAGTGGCGCTGTGGCTCAAGCGGTAGAGCGCTCACCTTGAGCTGAAGAGCTCAAAGCTGAGGGACAGCACCCAAGCCCAGAGTTCAAGCCCCACGACCAACCAAAAAAAAAAAAAGTATGTACAATCAACAGTGACTCTGTCTCTGGGATTATTTATGTTGGAAGATTATTGCTGCTTCAACTGCACTGCTTATTAAAGATCATTTAAGTTTTTTTTTTCTTTTGCTGGTCCTGTGGCTTGAACTCTAAAAGATAAGTTTTCTAAGTATCCCCTAATAATCCTCTGGACTTTAATAATTTAAACATTCACTCTTTTCCCTTCTAATTTTAATTAATTTGGGTCTTCTTTCTCTTATGGTTAGTTAACTAGAATTTGTTAGCCTTGTTTATCTTTCAAGGAATCAACTCTTTCACTTTTTTTTTTCTTGGGTGATAGGCTATCCCTGGAACTTGATTGCAGGGCCTGGGTGCTGTCCCTGACCTTTTTCAGCCAAGGTTAGCACTCTGCTGGTTGAGCCACAGCTCCGCTTTCAGCTTTTCTGGTGCTTAATAGGAGATAAGAGTATTGCATACTTTCCTTTTTGGGTTGATTTCAAACCTCAATCCTTAGATCTCAGCCTCCTGAGTAGCTAGGATTACAAGTGTGAGACACCAGCTCCCGGCACACTTTCTTTGTATTGTTCTTTTGCTCTCCATTTTGTTCATTTCCTCCTGATCTTTATTATTTCTTTCCATCTAGTAATTTTGAGTTTGGGAGTCTTCTTGTTTTTCTAAGTCCTTAAAGTAAGCCATGAGATTAAGATCCTTCCAATTTTTTAATGTACTATGTAAAGCTATAAACTTTCTTTTTAGAATTGCCTTTGTTTGAGTCAGAGGTTCTGATAAGCTGTATTTTCATTTTTATTTGACTAGAATTTCAAAAATATTTTCTCCCAAATTTCTTTAAGAATTCATTCAAAAGTATGCTACTATTCACTCTGTAGTAGTGTGTAGTAGTTTCTATAGTTCCTCTATCAATGTGTGATTTTATTCCAATATGATCTAGTAAAATAATTCAATTTTTAGAATGTTAAGATATGTTCCATGGCACATATGTGCTCTATCTTAAAAGTTTCATTTCACAGAACGTGTATTTGGCTGTCAGTCAGTTCATCTGATGTATAGTGCAGTTTAATTCTGACGTTTCTTTACTGATTTTTGTACTAGGGTTTTACAAAGGTACTATTTGAACTCAGGGCCTTGTACTTTCATCTGCCATGTCAGTCACACCTTCAACCTTTTTGCTTTTTTATTCTTTCAGATAAGGGCTTGAATGTTTTCCCTGGGATGGCTTAGACCATGATCCTCCTACCTTAGACCATGATGCCTCCTAAGTACCTAGGGTTATAGGTGTGAACTTCTATGCTCTGCTTACTTTTCAAGTTAAGTTCTTGCTAGCTTATTGCCTGCCTGACCTCCTGAATAGGTAAGATTACAGATGTCACCAACATACTCCACTTTTTTTTTCTTTTTTTGCTACTATCACAATGCATAAATTGTCCTTTTGAAGGTGCTTAAAGGGTCTTCCTGGTCTTACTCATTTTTCACTGAACTTTTTATTTTGCTCCTCAGATCTCATAATTTCTGTGGTCCTATTTGAGAGTTTATTGATTTTTCTGCCTATTCAAATCTACTTTTGCATTTCTCCAATGAGTTTATTTCTGCTCTTGTTCTTTTCAGCTACAGAATTTGGTTGTTTCTTCTTAGGTTTTCGATGTCTTTATTTCGATTTTCATTTTATTCAGACTTTTTTGGTCTCTTCCACATCACCCTTCAGTTCTTTGAGCAGCTCTAAGATAGTTGTTTTAAATTATTTGTCTACTAGATCTACTATTGGGTCATTTCAAGGACAGTTTTCATTGATTCAATATTTTCTTCTCCATGTTCCACACTTACTTACTCATTTATGCCTTCTGAAGCTTTTTTTTTCATTGAAAATTAAGCATTTGAGTCTAATATTGTGGCAAAACAGACTTTCTACCACACCAGTGTTGCTTTTTTTCCTTTTTATTTGTTCTGGTTTGTTGTGGCCATTGTTTTGATTATTATATTGCCTCTGAACTAACAAGTGACCTGACATGAAGTTCAGTCTTCTCCATTTTTTGCTAAACCCTTCCAATTTTTCACACACAAGAGATTTGTAAGGTTTTAGTCTTCAATGCCTGGCTCTCCAAGTGGCACTTTCCCTTAGTTTTTTCACTCAAGACTGGTACTCTACCACTTGAGCCACAGCTCTACTTCTGGCTTTGTGGTGGTTAACTGAAAATAAGAAACTCATGGATGGGCTGGGAAGGTGGCTCAGTGGTAGAGCGCTTGCCTTGCATGCATGAGGCCCTGGGTTCGATTCTTCAGCACCACATAAGCAGAAAAAAAAGCTGGAAGTGGCGCTGTGGCTCAAGTGGTAGAGTGCTAGCCTTGAGCTGAAGAGCTGAGGGATAGTGCCCAGGCCCAGAGTTCAGGCCCACGACCGGACCGCCCCCGCCCCCCCCAAAAAAAAGAAACTCATGGACTTTCCTGCCCAGGCTGACTTAGAACTGCAATCCTCAGATCTCAATCTAAGTAGCTAGGATTACAGGCATAAGCCACCTAGCACCCAGCTAGTTGTCAATTTTTAAATGTACTGTTAGATGATTCAGCCACCATGGGAGGGACTTGCAATGACTAGAGGCCGTGCAGTAATGACTGTGTGCCTCTTTGCCTCCACTGAACCAATTATCATCAGTGCTCTAGAGCATAAAATCATATATTTAAGATATTTATTTACAAAAAAAGGTATTTATTTACATGTCACTTAATAAACTATACGTTTTTTTTGGGGGGGGTCTGGTTGTGGGGCCTGAACTCAGGGCCTGGGTTCAGCTCTTCAGCTCAAGGCTAGCGCTCTACCACTTGAGCCACAGCGCCACTTCCGGCTTTTTTCTTTTTGCTTATGTGGTGCTGAGGAATCGAACCCAGGGCCTCATATATTGCAAGGCAAGCACGCTACCACTGAGCCACCTTCCCAGCCCTAAACTATATGTTTTGAAAAAGTTAATAAGCATAAGTATATATGCATAAAACTCAGGCAAAATTATAAGCAGAACTATAGGCATTTTTCTATGTGTGTTTTAAAGATTTTCTGTAATATACAAACACTACCTATATGAAGAAATCAGGCCCTTTGCTCACATTTACATGAGAACAAAACCAGAAGGAGGTGAGACAGGCACGTGTGTGGACAGATGGGAGGAGGGCCCTCTTGGAAGAGGACTATACTGTACATGTTCCGAGGGTACTGAGAAGCGGCATGCTCTGACATGTACGTTCACAGGCTCCCTCTGGCAGGAGTACTTAGGCAAGGGCAGAAAACAGGAGCTCGTCAGAGGACAGCCATAGCAACTCACGGGAGAGATGATAAAAAGGACAGTCCGGGGTTAGGGGAAGGTATTACAACTTTTTAAAAAGATAGGTTCTGAGGACATCTTAGACAAACCAAACATTACTGACAATGAAGATTAAATGTGAGGTAAAGGAGAAAGGGAAACATCAGGATGACTTAGGGTTTTGTCTTGGCAATTCAAATACTCATTTAACTGAAATGCAGAAGACTGGGATGAGGTCAGGTTTGGGGTGAGGATAGGAGAGAGTAAGTTTATTTTGGACAAACTGAATCTGAGTGAAACTGAAGGTATGGATGGGTAGTCATCAGCAAGGAGAAGGAATGTGACGCCACGGGATTGGATGAGCTCAGCAAGGGAATAAGAAGGTAAAGAAGAAACCCAAAGAACAGCTTCAAAGGCATTTGAGTGTCTAGAGGTCAGCAAGTTCTTAACAGACTCTAGAGTGACGGCCAATAATATTCCAGAGTAACCTGTGAAACTATCATCAGAAAGCTGGAGTGACTTCAGAGACTAAAATCAAACTGGGTGCTGGTGACTCCAACCTGCAATTCCAGCTACTCAAGAGGCTGAGACCTGGAGGATGGAGGTTCAAAGTCCATGAGAACAACCTCCAATTAGCCAATAAAAGCCAGACTGGAGGCCTGGTTCAAGCAGTACAGCCTCAGACATGTACAAGCAAGTTGAATAGGCCTACGGTTCTGAGTTTAAGCCCCCTACTGGCAAGAAAACCCCCACCAAACTAGACTAAAACTAAAATCAATACGACTCTTTAAAAATTCCTTGCATAAAGGAGCACAGATTCCACAGGATACAATAGACACCTTGGCAGATCACAACCGGGACACAGAAACCACAGAGAGACAACTGTATCAGTCACCATGGTTCAAGTCCAAAGCTCCTCCATATTTGAGATATTGAAAGTATAAGGACAGGTTTAGAATGCTCCCCCACATAAAACCAAGGACTACCTACTAAGGAAGAACTGTATTTGCATCCTCCAGTGAGCCCCTTGGTCAGCAGATGCTGCTCAGAGCTTGTGAAGTAATGTACTACACGGCAGCCTGATGTGCACGTGTCGCTCTGGAGGCTGATGATAAACTACAGGTCTGACAACTCACTTTCCATTTCAAGATATTTCTTGAACTTTTCCTTGTTGTGACAGGTGACCAAATTGATTAAACCCAGCCAAGGGGTTTGACACGACAGCCAACAGACTTCTATTTGTTGATTGCTATTGATTTTCTTTGATACTTCATTTAAAAATCAATAGGTGGAAAGAAAAATAGGCTTGGTTTACACATACTCAAATACACTATTGTATGCCGGTGAAGGCACAAGTTTGGCACAGCTCTGGCATCCAATTATAAGAAGAGCTCTTAACAGGTGAACACAAGGGCTTTAGATCGATACGGTTTTCTGTCTCAATCAAAGAAAGTGGCTATAAATTAGGCTCATCAGTGTTATTTCCAAGGCTTTCTGGAAGCAAACAACCTTAAACTATTTTTGTCTTCCTTAGATTAACATTAAAGGATCTACCATGAGAAGATTCCATTTGATTTCATTCTTACAAATGTTTAAGGTACCTGGAATTCATCCGGGCTTTTATCTTTTTGGCTTTTTTTCTGTTTTTCTGCCGCTCTTCCCCATCTTTCAAAGACTCTGGTGGAGCTGTACTTTCAACCACAATGTCAACAACATACTTCTTCAAGGAAAGATGCTCCTGCAAGATAGACCAATTAAATAATGGTATTTTCCCACAATACAAGACTGCTACCAACTAACAAATAGACCAGATTAAATGCAGGAAGCTACAAGTCATCTCTATTCAAACACTGGTTCCCCAAAGGGCTTTGAAAACGGTCCAAGGAATGGTCTCACTTGACATTTTCCTTGATTTGTCAAGCCTTTGCAAAATGTCAACTGGGCTAAATTTTGAGACTAACATGGACATTATCCCTGACCATAACATGAGTGGAAGAGGAATGTTTAAATACACACATGATACCATAATACCACGCAATTAGCCAAGTGCTATGAGAGTTTAAAGGGAAGAGAAAATTGTTCTCTTGGGTGGTGAGGAGGGAGGTCCTCAAGAAGGTAGAACTCTGATCTTTTTTCTTTTTCTTTTTTTTTCTGGTGTTGGTCCTGGGATTCAAATTCGAGGCCTGGATGCTGTCCCTGAGATTTTGTGCTCAAGGCTAGTTCTCTATCACTTTGAGACACAGTGCCATTTCCAGATTTTTCATAGTTCACTGAAGAATCTCATGAACTTTCCTATCCAGGCTAGCTTTGAACCACAATCTTCAGAACTTAGCCTCCTGTGTATCTAGAGGATTACAGGCATGATCCACTGGCCCCCAGCTTCTGTCTGCTAACTCTTGAAGGATGGATAGAATCTGGACACACATCTACTGGCTGTGTGTGTGTGTGTGTGTGTGTGTGTGTGTGTGTGAGAGAGAGAGAGAGAGAGAAAGAGAAAGAGAGAAAGAGAGAGAGAGAGAATGTGTGTGTGTGTGTTTAAGCCAAGGGTAAGAGGGCCAGAAAGAGAAATAAGATAGTTCCAGAAAACAGATCTCAGAGATGAGAAAGTGGCAAATCTGTCTGATCTGGCTGGAGCACTGGAGGTCTGACCCACTTCTGTCTCCATCTGTCTTGGAGCTTTTGCGGCCAGTTACTCTAATCGCTCCATTTCATACACTTGACTACTCTGCCCTTCTTCTCCTTTCACACCCACAGGGTGAAGTCTCAACCCTAAATCTAGCTCTCCATCTATTCGAAGCTTCTCTCTGGGCCGATTAGCAGAGCCATACTTACCCAGCATGCAACTGCTCTGCTCGAAGTCTGTGAGGCTCACAGCCACTCAACTCCCAGGCCATCCACAGGCCTGCTAGGCAGTCCATTCCCTCCCCTCCTCACGTCCCCAACCCTCAGCCAAAGTCTATCCTTATTTTCATGAGGAAGCAGCATTATACACAAGAAAACTTGCACACATGGTCAGGGCCAAAATACTTTGCCCTTCTCCTACTAATGTCACATGAACACCATGTCCTGTCTAGGGTCAAGTCCTCTAAAGGCATGGAGTACCATCTCTTCTCCCCTCCACATTGAGGCAGCTGTGAATTTCTCCTTTGTGGCAATGTGAAAAGAAGCCTTTCAGAACAGGTGCTGGAGGCTCATATCTACCATCCTAATTACTGAGGAGGCTGAGATCTGAGGATCAAGGTTGGAAGCCAGCCTGGGGAAAATAAGTCCAAAAGTCTCTCATCTCCAATGAACCAGCAAAAGCCAGCCAGAGGTAGAGCTGTAGCTCAAGCAGTAGAGTACCGGCCTTGAGGATAAAAGGGAGAGCTCTCAGGCCATGAGTTCAAGCCCCAGTACTGGCCAAGAACAAATGAAAGAAGGAAGGAAGGAAAGAAGGAGAGGGGGAGGGGGAAGGAGGGGAGGGGAAAGAGAGGGGGAGAAAGAAAGAAAGAAGGAAGAAGAGAGAGAGAGGGGAGGGAAGGAGGGAGGGTAGGGGGAAGGGAGGGAAGGGAAGGAAGGAAGGAGAAAATGGAGGAAGGAAAGGAGGGAAGAAATGAAAAAAGAAAGAGAAGGAAGAAAGGAAGAGTAAAATAGAAAAAGAAAGCAAGAAAGAAAAAGGGAGAAATGGAGAAAGGAAGGACTTTCATACTAGGAATTCTGAGTGAGCACTAATGGAGGGGCTATTTTACCCAGATATAGATCGGCATATGAAGGAGTAGAAATTAGGAGAGCCATTATTTCAGGCCAAGCAAGTGTGAAGCCTAAAGAAGACTGTGGCAGGAAACCAGACTGCCTCTCAGAAATGTGGCTCAAGTGGTAGCATTCTAGCCTAGCACGGCCTAGCAAGCAAGCATGCCCTGAGTTCAAAACCCAGTATCCCAGTATTACCTTGCTCCTCCCCTCCCCCAAATGATCAGATATTACAAAATTGATGAATAGAAGGATGTTAAACTATCAAAGGGAGAAAATGCTGATATCCAAAGCATACTACTAATATTTGAGGAGGTTTGTTTAAATTCCGATGCTCAGAAGCTCCTGTTTCATATAAATTAAATCTTTAGTTACCCAATGGTGTTTAATGCCCTATCCTTTGAGTTTTGGCTTAAGTTCTGCTTTTAGCACAAAAATCTGCCAACTGCATAAGTACATCTTTGTTTTAGAAATTAGATTGTACTTCTTAAGACTATTTTCTTAAACAGCTGGACATTTTGTTATTAAGTAAATATGACCTGTAAGTTCTTTGTCAGAATGTTTTAAATTATATGTTTAAATGCATTAGTGATCCATAATTAGTTTTACAAAAATACATTTTGTTATACTATTTAAAAAAAAAAAGAAATTGCAGTGAACTATGACTGAAGAAATCCTTAAGACAAGTCTACAAACTCAGCCTGAGGGATTTCTCTGGGCTTCTGCACCCTACCTAGCAAAACACAGATTAGACAATAAGTTCAAAAGTCCTCCTTTTCTAATATTTTAAGTACCAATGTAACAAGCTCAAAAGTTAACTAATGATGACTAATTCCAATCTAGTTTTTAAGTCCTAACTGTGATTTCTTAGTTAAAAAAAACACTGTTATAATATAAATTACTAATAATATACATATATAAGGAAATGAATACCTATACAGATATGATCTCATCAAAGTTTACACCCTTCTTATTCTCTTAATTACCTTTTATAGCATACTAGACCAATGCTCTGGCCTTTCTAATATGATTTATTACATTAAATGAAATAATTCATACTAAGGTTCTGACCTTGATATTCTACCAGACTCTTCCTAAATGCTCCTGTATTTCCTTACGTTTAAAGAGAGACATGAAAATATTGAGCTAGAAATAGGTTCATGATCTTCAGGAAACACTAAAAAAAAAAAAAAGGATAAGAATGAAAATACAAATGACATAGGACTTTATTAAACTCCTATTTTTAGAATGGTTTCAAATGTTGCCTTAAAACAAACATTTTATAAGATGATACAAAAAAAATCTATTTCCAACTGCTTCAACATATTCACACATAGAACTAAGAATTTTCAAGGATGTTATTCTTTATAGATCAAAAGGACTTAAGTGTCTGCTTTGAAAAGAAGGACCAAAACTTCACTGCAATAATAGATTTTTTTTCTGAAACCAGTCGTGTCTTTTGATAGAAATTCATCATGCTTTAAAGGCTCATTTCCTTTTCTTTTTTTCCTTGGTGTAGGGCTTGAACTACTGGGCCTAGGTGCTGTCCCCAGCTCTTCAGTTCAAGGTGAGTGCTCTACCATTTGAGCCACAGTGCCACTTCCAGTTTTCTGGTGGTTTATTGGAGATAAGAGTCTCACAGACTTTCCTGCCCAGCCTGGCTTTGAACAGTGATCCTCAGATCTCAGCCTCCTCAGTAGCTAGGATGACAGGCATGAGCCACCAGCACCCTGCTAAGACTCATTTCTCTACAACCAAAAGTCCCCCCCACCCACCCAAGACCAGGGTGGATGTCAAGTTACTAATCTAAATAGACAAGGGAATGATGAAAAAAGAATTTCCCTCTTTGGAAAAACATTTGTCTTCCAACTAGCCTGGGCAAAAAGTTGATGAAATACCCATGTTAACCAATGGCTGGGTGTGGTGGTACATGCCTGTCATTCATGGCAGAGAGGGAAAAATAAATAGGAGAATGAAGGTCTGGCAGCCCCAGACAAAAGTGAGACACCACTATCTCAAAATTAACCAGGACAAAAAGGGCTAGAGAGTATGGCCTAATTGAGAAGTCAGCTGACTAGTAAATACAAAGCTTTGTGTTCAAATCCTACTACTGTCCCAAAAAGTACACCTGAGAAAGTCTGAAATACAATTTCTTTTCTCAAAAGAATGCCCTTTTTAACAGCACCATTTTGAAAAATTAAAATATAAATGGCAATGACAACTCCTTAAACTAGATAGGCTATTTTAATTATAAAAAAGATGAAACTCTCTTAGGGTCTACTCCTACAGATGTAGAATACACTTATGGTTTTCTCAATTACAATCTATGTATTATGTGAAGGGACAGCAAGAGAAAGGAAGCTAATGAAATACTACAAAAAAGACACCACATGCGAGGCCATCTTCTGATCAGGACGACCATCCACCGTCTGTCCCTCTGTCACTCCCGACAATTACAAATAGTCTATCAGTTTGCTGGTAGGTGAAGACAAATGGGGCAAAGCCTTCTTTTGCAGATTCTTCTATTTGTTCTGATCTAATCTGAGCTTTAATGGATGACTCAAGATAGACCCAGAGTTCAACTATCTTATTAATTTATCATGCTGGGGAGGGTGAAAAAAGGCTGAGTTCAATACTGCAACCTGGAATGTTCAGCAGTGCTAAACTAAGTATCACTGTGAAATGGCTCAGCAAGTACTCAACTAAGTCTCAACATGGAATGGCTCAGTGGTACTGAACCAAGTCACATTGTGAAATGGCTCAGTGGAACTGAACTAAGTCTTATCAGCAGTACTGAACTATGTCTCATTGTGAAAGATGTTTTCCCCAAATGCTCAGACTTCAAACACACAAACCGGGATTGCTATCAGCTTCATCTTTAAAATCATTTTGATAAAAGAGTAACACTAATACCACATTTCACAGACAACATTGTCCTTTCGATCAAGAGAAGGGGGAGTAGGATTATCAGAGCCATACCTCTTCTTCTTTTTTTTTTGGATCCAGTAA